CAGCATAGGGTATGTCTTGAACATAATCTCTGGAGATGTAAAAAGAGCAGGTTAGACACAGAAGCAAGCACCATGGGGGAAAGGTGCATGCTATGTGGAGATCTCCGAGGAGCACCGAGAAGAACACGAAACCAAACCAAACCCACTGCCATTGCGTGATTCCAACTCATAGCAACCCCCACTGGGTTGCTGAGGCAGTGAATCTTTACGGAAGTAGATTGCCTAGTCTTCCTTCTGCAGAGTAGCTGGTGGGTTTGAACCACCAACCTTCTGGTTAGCCATCAGATGCCTCAGGCACTATGCCACCAAGAAGAAAACTAGAGAAGCTGAAACAAGGATTTTCCCCCACAGTGGGCAGAGAGAGCCTCCCCCTAGAGCCAGTGCCCTGAATTCAGACTTCTAGCCTCCTAAACTGAGAGAATAACTGTCTGTTCATTAAAGCCACCCACTCACCCACTTGTATTTCTGTTTATTGCAGCACTGGAGAATAAGCCACCATTTCCTTGAGTACAGTATTTAAGTTACATGAAAATAGACTATGAGAGAGAATTTACTTCATACTTCTTAGACTTCAGCTTCTCAACTCTCATCTGCAATTTCTCTCTTTATTTATTTTTTTTTAAGAAAAAAAATATATCTTTAATGGTAATAGGAGAAAAAGACGTAAGAAAGTTATTTCTGCTCCTTCACTGGCTTTTCACAGAGGTATTCACTTTTGTCTCTAAATCACCTCCTTATCCTATGATAATTATTTCCCTTTCTGATTTGTGTTTCTGTGTGCTCTTTCTCTCACCACCACCACCACCCCCACTTCCCCACACATGTACACGCCGAATAAGAAAGTGGTAGGAAAAAAATATGTCTTCCTGACAATCCTGCTGTACGGTGTTCTCAAGGCTCTTAAGTGGCAAGTGGCTTGTAATCGTCCTTGGTGAACCAGGCCGCAAATAACACATTAAACAGGTATCCGAGGCCAAGAGCAAGAACCAGTGTTATTTGTATCATTCATAGTACAGACCGACATGCTGGTCTGTCCCTTACCTCTCCTCCAAAACGCAGGCCTAGAACACCATAGGAGCTCTGGTAGCATAGTGCCCAAGGCACTTGACTGCTTACCAGAAGGCCGGCGGTTCAAACCCACCAGCCACTCCTCGGAAGGAAGATGGGGCAATCTACTTCTGTAATGATACTGCCTTGGAAACCCAAGAAGGGGTTGCTATGAGTTGGGTCCGACTAGATGGCACACAACAACAACAACAGAGAACACCATCATGGTGTATTTATTCTGTGGTGGTGCTGTTCCTCCTGATTTTGTTGAGGGATGGGAGTGGACAGAGAGGAGGTGATAGCTGTGGGAGATGGAAGGGATGCGTGCCCAGCAGAACCATGCTGCTCGTCAGAAAAGGAAGCAAAGAGCCTCAAGCTCTCCATCACTGCTTTCCCTTCTTCCTGGGACAGTTATTGTTGTTGTTATGTGCCGTTGAGTCGGACCCAACTCATAGCGACCCCTCCTTGGGTTTCCGTGGCAGTATCACTACAGAAGTAGATTGCCCCATCTTCCTTCCGAGGAGTGGCTGGTGGGTTTGAACTGCCAGCCTTCTGGTTAGCAGTCAAGTGCCTTAGGCGCTATGCTACCAGAGCCAGTTGGTAAGGCGCTAGGGCAGAGGGAGGGGGAAGGAAGAAGGGCAAAACTGCAAGAATTGATGGCCTCCTGGTGACAGTTTCCCTGGACTTGACATGAAAATCATTAGGCCAGATGGAAAAGAGCAGAGCTTGAGAAGGAACAGATTTTGGTGGGATGAGACAAACAGACAAGCAGATGGAACCTAAGAAAGTATTCCTATTCTTTGCTCATCTTGGAAGATAATTGCCCAGATGATGGGGCTTCAGAGGGAGGATCTGGAGCCCTGGGTGGCAGAGTGGTTTGTGGCATGTCGCTGTAGTGTCCCACTTTACAAATGAAACAGACACACAGAAGGGTTAAATGTTGCCTCATCACTCACAGGGCTGCTGTCAAGATTTAGGAGGGAAATACATGGTGTCCAAAGAAGCGTACATTTAGATGTTAATTCTATTTGGAGGATTCACTTGGTAAGAAAAGCAGCTGAAGTTTGTGTTTGTGATTGGGTGTCCCTGGGGCCCATGCCTAGCCTGTTGGTGCTCTGGTGTCCATGAGGGGACAACCCACACACAGCCTTAAATCATGTACTTGGGAAGTGTCGTCTCTTTTTAAATCCCTTCAGTAAAGGCTGTGGATGAAAAAGAGCTGTTCAAAGCCCAGCCAGGGAGACTCTTTTGAAAATCAAAATTCCTGCCAGTCCATATCAGTAAGGTTTCCCCTGCCTCTTGGCTTCTTATCTGTCTTAATGCTAAAACAGGTTGTGGAAGCAGGTAGAGAGCAACCAGGGGTTAGAAAAATTTGAAAAGAAGGGAATCTAAGAGGAGAGTACATCGTCATGGGAACAGGCAGATTCCATAATCTGCAGACATTTAAAACATTCAATTGATCTGTTTTGCTAGAAAACAGTATATATATACATATGTTGCTTGTTGTTGTTACATACACATATACATATATATTTGCCTAAGACATCTGACTGCTAACCAGAAGGCTAGCGGTTTAGACCCACCAGCCACTCCTCGGAAGGAAGGTTGGGCAATCTACTTCCGTAGTGATACTGCCTTGGAAACTCAAGGAGGGGTCGCTATGAGTCGGATCCGACTCAGTGGCAGTGAGGTTGGTTTGGTTTATGTATGGATGGATGTGTGTGTGTGTGTGTGTATAATTATTATGTAAAAGTATATCCAAGCTCTACTTCTCTGTTGGCAAATTAAATTAGAACTTCCTTCCTTGCTTTCACCCTTGATTTACATTGTATCCCTATTTTATATATTGGATCATCTTCCCCCCACCTGTTTTTTTTTTTTTTTTTTACCATTTGGAAATCCTTGTAATTAGTGTTGAATGGTTCTCTGTTAGCATCAAGCTTATAGAGTGGCTCTGGAGTAGTTAGACCATTTAGAGCAAAAGGAAATGGTTCCTTGTTACCATTTTCCATTTTAGTCGTATTTCCCATCAGGGCATATTTAGATTGTGTGGGTCTGTCTGTGGCACATAGCAGTGCTGTTTGATCTGAAGCCCTCCATTGAACAGGCATATTGTCTATCCACTAAACTTTAAAAAGTTGTGCTGGAAAGCTTAGATGAATCACGTTTCTTCAAGACATGTACTTTGCTTCTCCTTTCTTATTTGATTTTCCCATTATGAATACATAGAAACTTCTATGATATTTTCTGGGCATATATCCAATAATATCTTAATAACTATTAGCATCTCTGTTATTATTTACAGTGAGGCTGAGAAGCAGGAAGATTAAATGATTTGCCCAAGATCAAAGCTAAGAAATGATCTGCCTCTACTTGGTGGAACCATGGTTCTGCCGAGTGACTTTCTTGAGCAGATAATGAATTTGTCTTGGAGACTTTCTAGTTGGTTCCTTTTAGATAAAAATGCACATCAGTGAAGGATTAGGGAGTGTGGGAGAGAAGAAGGAAGGTTTAATCTTCATGTTTTATTTGAAGAGTAGACATTTGTAACCTACAAATCACAAATCTGTCTCCTTCAGATAATAAAAAGGAAATCCCATCATTTTCACTGGTGGCAGGCCTTGGAGCCTTCTGTGAAGCCTGTAGTAGAAGTGTGTGAACACTAGATGGCACACGTTCAATGTTACAACGTTACAGTGTAGTGACACTGGAGTGGGAGACAGTCTATGGCGATAATGGACCATTCTTTCTTCAGTGTGCTCAAGGAAACTTAAGAAGCAAACCATATCCTGTTTCTTTTCCTTGCTGAGGAGTCTGTGAAAAATTGTTTCCTAAAGCAAGCACTGTATGACCAGAAGAAATGTCCTGAAGACCGTAATCACTAAGATGATTTTGGATGCTTTTGTGAAACATCTGTTTTAGAACCCAAATGGGTATTTTCATTTGGCTTAATCTCATACCAAAAGATATAGAACCAAAAAGTATCTTAACAACTGTTAGCATCTTTGGCCAAAAGATACAGGACCTACATCAGGCCTGCTGAAACCGCCACCTAGGCCGCAGGAGACTGTAGTCCACAGATTTAAACCCCTCAGAGCAGATCACAAAAATATTCTAAGAATACACTGAGACAGTTTTTATCATTCAAGATAATGGGTTTTTTTCCATTAATCCTTTTTTATCCTAAATATCTTAAGCTGCTGAATTTGTAGTACACTAAAATGTAATGTTTAGTCCAATATGGTGATGGTGAGTGCTTTCCTCAGTAATAACTCTACATTATTAAGCACTCATTGCTTAATAACCTAAAAAAAATTAAACCTATTGCCAAGAAGTCGATTCTGATGCATGGTGACCCTGTGTGTCATGCAGCAGGTTTTCTTGGCTAGTGATCTTTACGGGAGCAGATTGCTAGCCCTTTGTTCCATGGCACCACTGGATGGCTTTGAACCTCCAACTTATGTTAGTAAAAGACCACACCCAGCAACTTTCATTGCATAGTAAGGAGAAAGAAAAAGATAGCAGGCCTGGATCTGACATTAAGGTCAAGACCACTTGAGGAGGTAAGACACACATGTATAGTCAGTGTCACTCACAGCACAGGTAGGCTCTGTCGTCACACGGCATGCTGACAGATGTTTTTATATTTTCCATGGTATGGATGGATTCTTTCTTCTGGATCAGATGGGCTTAGAGAAAGTGTGAACATACAGAAGAATATAAGGAAGGGAATAGGGCTGGCCCCTCCCCAAGGTGGGGGACCACTATTTGCATTCAGTTGTATGCAGCTATTTCCCATGTAGCACCAGTGTGCTGTTCTTTTCTGTAACCTAAAGGAATGTGTCCATGTTCTAATGACCAACAGTTCTGGACTGTTCATTTGCTTGAAAGCAGCAAGTCATTTTTAATGAAGTGCCGTGATGTTTACTTTCTCGTGGTCTTTTCCTTTGCAGCCTCAAGCAGCTTGTCATCCTGCCATATTCAGAATCGTAGATGAGATGTTCAGGTAAGTATGAGGCCATTCTGAAAGTGTTTGATTGCCAGACATAACCAGAACATTCTGTGGTCATCTCTGACTGTACTGGGGGAAAATTCACATTTCTGATTTCTTATCCTTCTGAGCTCTGTGGTAGTTAGAGGTGAAAATTCGAAAGTCAACATATAATTAAAAGTCAACACCTAAGAATTAAGATAACTTCCTTTCTCTAATCTTTTTAAATTCTAATAATAATCATAGAAAAGCAGGACTGAATTAGCTATTCATGTAGGAGTTTTCTCAGATCAGAATAAAGGGTGGCAGTATATTCCCTTCACCACATGGGGGCTGACCAATCTTTTTGAAGGATTTTAAAACAAAGGAGAGGGGAAAAAAAAAAAAAAAAACACCAAGCCATTCATAACAGAACTCTCCTAAAAGGCAAAACATTCATCTGTATTTTGAAAATACCAGTACTTCTTGGGAAACAAATTGATAGGATTTATAGGTGACAGGAGCTGAGGAGATGGCTGGGTTGGGTTGGATTATGGCTGTCAGTTAGTGGGTGTTGTAATCATGGAGTTGTAAGACCAGACCCCATTCGGGGAACTTGTGTCCTTTTTCTGGCCCCTTACGTGAGTACCAGTGTAGCCAGGAGCTCTGCTCCTCCCCTGTTCCTTCCCCTCCTACAGCAGGGCAGGCTCCAGGTAGATAGCACACGTCGGGAAAGGAATTCTTACAACAGCAAATAACCTTGCACTTGGCGTAGTTTTAAAACTTACAGACTTCAGATTAAATGAGCATAGAAATAAGAAGTCAAACACTTTTTGTCATTTGAAACTGGTAAAAATTTGAGTTGATTCTTTGTTTAACCACATATAAGAAAAATTAGTTGTAGGACCATGCATGAAAACCAAACTAGATACCTTCAGGTTCTTCTACCACTTTTTGACTGAGCCATGATACCCTTTTGGGCAACTCTTTCTCCACCTGCAAAAGCAGAATGTCTGTCAGTTCTGCATGTCCAGGCACATAGTGCACAAATCTTTATAAAGAGCATGGAGGCCTACATCAGACCGCCAATGTGGTATTTAATAATTTATAATCCAAGAACAAGAACTCTGCACAGTTGTTGTTGTTGTTGTTGTTATGTGCCGTCGAGTCGGCCCCAACTCATAGCGACCCCTCCTTGGGTTTCCGAGGCAGTATCACTACGGAAGTAGGATTGCCCAACCTTCCTTCCGAGGAGTGGCTGGTGGGATTTAGAATTTATTTAGAAAAGTGAGTGACAGATTTATCCTGTTTTCACACAAAGATTGATATCTGATGAGTTGAGATACTGCTAAAGCTTATGGCCAAGAGTGTTTCCATTCCTCCCTTTCACAGTTTGTGCCCGTATGTTGCCAGATTGGTCATGAGCTCTGTCTCCATTTGACTTTGCTTTGTTCAGGTGTGCCCTCTTGGGGACCGATGGGGCCCCAGAAGTCCTGGCTGCTCTTCAGGTGTTCACACGATGCTTTGTAGAAGCTCTGGAGAAAGAAAACAAGCAGGTTAGTTATTTAACAGATAAAATTCATTTGTCCCAAAGTAAAACAAGTGGTAAAGAGTATTTGGCTAATTGCTGAAAAGGAGCACTTTATTCTCAGTGATTTTTGTGGACTGTTTTGCTCATGAAGAAAGCTTCCAAATAAATATCTCAGCAAAGGTTTTAATTTAAATCTTAATTGAAAATAAATCAAGATAGCTCCTGTCTGCCCCATGCCCTGGTATCCAGGGACATCTGTCTCCCGCCGTGGCACAGCACATTACATGCCGCCACGTGCTGACCCACAGGATGAATTCTGCTACCCCCTGCAGGTGATGCTGTCTGCTCCTCAGGCTTCTTCTGACCCTCCCAGTCCAGCACCAGGCGTTCTGGAATCTGTATGGGCTGTGCTGAGTAGGAAATGTCACTTACTACAAAGCAGTATTGGACATTCTTAATAATTATTGAGCTTCCATTCCTAACTAAGACCCCAATGTGAATTGGATTCCAGGAGATAAAGATGTGGCAAGAATGACAATGACAGATTTGGATAACTGTGGAGGAGGAGCTGTGAATGGCAGTGACGAAGAGGTGTGTGTTAGACACAATCAGTGGACAAGAGGCCGGGCCTAGGCCTGTAGGGAGACTTGGGCTCCAGAGGCCATCAGCAAAGGCCAGGCAGCTGCTGCCTGCCTTAGAGTTCTCTAGAGAAACAGAACCAGAGATACAGAAAAGCAAGAGAGAGTTAAGGAATTGGCTCACAGAATTATGGGAGGCTGGCAAGTCTAAAATGTATAGGTCAAGTGACAGACTGGAGATTCCTGCAAGCTTATTTTCCAAAATCCATAGGTTAGGTGACAAGAAGAATGAAAAGTGAAGGAGTTCTGGCAAAATGTCTGTTTATAGTCTAGAGACAGAACAACCCTAGGGAAAACTCCCTTTTTGCCCTTAAGGCATCCAACTGATTGGATGAGAACCATCCACATTATGGAGGATGATATGTTTTACTTAAGGCCAACTGATTTAACCACAGGGGGGGTCAGTGGTAGAATTCTTGCCTTCCATACAGGAGTTGTTGCTGTTGCTGTTGCTGTTGTAGTTGTTGTTGTTGTTATTTGCCATCAAGTTGGACCCGACTCATAGCGACCTCCTCCTTGGGTTTCTGAGGCAGTATCACTACAGAGGGAGCTCTGGTAGCATAGTGGCTAAGATACTTGCCTGCTAACCAGACGGCTGGCGGTTCAAACCCACCAGTCACTCCTCGGAAGGAAGGTTGGGCAATCTACTTCCATAGTGATACTGCCTCGGAAACCCAAGGAAGGGTCGCTATGAGTCGGGTTTGACTTGACGGCACATAACAACAACAACAACAACATCACTACAGAAGATTGCCCAACCTTCCTTCAGAGGAGTGGCTGGTGGGTTTGAACCGCCAGCCTTCTGGTTACTGGTCAAGTGCCTTGGGCACTATGCTACCAGAGCTCCTTCCATACAGGAGGCTTGAGTTCAATTCCTAACCAATGCATCTCAAGTGCAGCCACCACTCATCCATCAGTGGAGGTTTGCATTGTTGCTCTGATGCTGCACAGGTTTCAGCAGAGCTTCCAGACCAGGATGGACTATGAAGAAAGGCCTGGTGATCTGATAATCAGCCAGAGAAAACCCTGCAGATTGCAACAATCTGATCTGCAGCCCATCATGGGGATGGTGCAGGACCCGGTGGCATTTTGATTTGTTGTGCATGTGTCAGGAGCTGGCACAGTGGTGGCTAACAACAACAGCTATTTGATTATCAGAGTCCAGACTGGTGTTTGACCAAACAACTGGGCACCATACCCAGCCAAGCTGACACATAAAATTAACCATCACAGGACCGTTGACCAATGAGAATAACTGTGTAAGGTAGAAACCTTTTCTATCCAGGGAGCTTTCATCTTTGGGCAGTTTCAATGGCTTTTCTTTCTAATAACCACAAACCAAACCAAAGCAACAAGTTGCTGTCCAGTCCATCCCAACTCATGTCTGTCCAAGTAGAACTGTGCTCCCTAGGGTTTTTATTGTCTGATATTTTGGAAGTAATGCACCAGGCCTTTCTTCTGAGGTACCTCTGCATAGACTCAAACCAACAGCTTTTTGATTAGAAGCTGAGAGTGCTAACCATTGCACCACCCTGGGACTCTAATAGCCACAGACTTAAAAAATTTATGTGGCACTCTGCCTGTTCTGAACACCTTGGTTCATGACATCTTCCCCATGAAGTGTACTATGGTTCCTGTGTTATTTTCTACAGTTTAACTTGTGAGAGCAGGACCTGGTGCTCAGCTCCACTAAAATCTGACACACCCACAAAGAAGCCACTCAGGATTTAGCAGCTGCTTCTACTTTTTAGAGCAATGGTAATATTTATGATTTATTTTTTCCCCATTCTCTCTTTCCCTAGGGAAGGTAGCTAGACTGTAGCAAATGGCGTTATCAATGGTACACTGCCTGGAATTCAGGCTGAGAGCTCTGCTGACAGGCATGGGCTGGCCCTTACAGTTATTTCAGGGCATGACTATAAATATCTTTTCTCTGCCCTTGGACATTATTTGTCTTCCCACTTAGGAACTGACCTCCAGAAAACCTCTCCCTGTGGCCCCTTGGCCTCACCTAGGTGGTGGACACTGGTGAAAAAATTCTTGCTCTGTAGCTTCAGCTCTTGTGGTATAGTGGTTAAGACATTTGATTGCTAACCAAAAGGTCAGTGGTTCAAACCCACCAGCTGCTCCGTGGAAGGAAGATGAGGCAGTCCATTTTCGTAAATATTTACAGCCTTGGAAACCCAGTGGAGGTTGCTATGAGTTGGAATCAACTTGATGGCAGTGAGTTTGAGTTTTTTGGTTTAGTTTCACCACAAGTCTGTTTTTCTTATCAACATTGTTACTAAGTCTCTGTGCTAGCCTTGGGGGCTGTGGATTTGGAATGGAGTTGTAGCTGCTTTATATTTGGAACAGTGCCTTGACCAATCCATGTGTGGTGTGGGGACCACACTGGGCAGTACCTGGAAAAAAGCAGGTACTCATCACACTCACCTTCAGCTCAGAGTAGGAGCTCTTACTCTTGTAAATGCATTCAGGTCTAGTGATGTAATTGCACATACCATATTTCATTTCTCTTCCTAGCACTATGACTGATCATCTGCCTTTGTAATGGATGGCTATTCTCATTTATTGGCCCCCTGCCTTTTTAAAAATAGACCTTGGGTGTCCATTTTTAGACTAATTGCAACCCTTGATGCATGATACTTTGTCATACTTGGTCCATACGTGATGCTCTTTTATTTCTTTGTTTTAATCATTCATTCATTCATTCTTAATAAAGTGGATATCTGTAAATCCAATATCTAAACCAAAACATTGACTTCTAGTAATGTCTTCCATCTACCCCTGTATTCCTGTTCTATCCCATACACTGCCATTCTCCCCCACAAATAACCACCATGATTTTTATCATGCCTTTCCTTGATTTTGAAAGCTTGGTCACATATATGGTAGCCTAAACCATATTTGTTTAGTTTTGGTTGTTTTTGTACATTCTATTTAGTCTCTTGAGACTTGCTTTTCCACTCACCATGTTACAGATTCATTTGTGTTGTATGTGGATGTGGTGAACTACTGTTGTGCACTATTCCATTGTGAAAATATAACACAAATCTATTTTCCTGATGTGGGCACTTAAGTTGTTTCTAGATTTTATTCCTATTACAAACAGTGTTGCTTTGAGCATTTTTTTTTTTTTTTAAACATTATGATTTGGGTGAAAGTTTACAGAGCAAATTCACGTTGCATACAGCAGCCCACATACACTTTCTCTCATGACACTGACAACTTACCACAATGCAACAGCTCCCCTTCCACTTCCTCCCCATAGTTACTTCTTCCCTGTGTCCTTCCCTCCATGAATTCCTGTCCCCTGAGCTGTCTCCCTGTGTATACACAGCCCTTCTATTCTCCCATGATTGTTCTCTCCAGGAAGGGTAGCTACTTAATGTAAATGTTCAGCTCATATGCCTGTCTTTTGTTTGGCTGGAAGCCACAGGACTGGGTTAAATTCCAGACCTGAAGGGCAGCTAGGAGCCGTGGTGTCAGTGGTTCCATCAAGCTCTATCAAACCAGCAAATCTGGTCCCTTTTTTTAAAAATGATTTTGAGTTTTGTTCCACATTGTTTTCCCACTCTACCCAGGATCTCCTACACAGATCCCCCTATGAGTGGTTGACAGTAGTAGCTGGGCACCATCTAGTTCTTCTGGTCTCATAGTTGTATAGGGTCAGGATCACATGGTGTACCTGTTGCTTGGATTAATTGTTTCCATGAATCTTTGGTTTTCTTCATTATTCTTTGCTCTGGATGAGGAGAAACCCACCATTGCATTTGGATGGCCGCTTGCAAGCTTTTAAGATCCCAGGCACTACTTGCCAAAGTAGGATGTGGAACAATGTTTTGTGTATTATGTTATGCCAATTGAGCTTGATGTCCTCTGGGATTATGGTCCCAAGCCCACAGGTCCAACTACTCACTCCCTCTGGGTACCTGGCCATGGCCAAGAAGTCACTCAACCTTGTCCCTTGTCAGCTCTACTATATACCTGTGAATTCTTACAGAATATACCAATACACTTGTAGAAACATTGTCTGCCAACCCTATACATGGTCATGGGCACACTGCCCCCTGCATAGACACACCTAATAGTTCAGCCTGTCCACCCATCTATCCACCCGTATATCTGTTTGACTTCACTGGCAGTGCAGTACTGTATGTGCAAAGGGGTTCATCTTTGTTGTCTGTACCTCCCATGTACCTCTCTATGTCTTCCTCTTCCTCAATGCCACCATGTTGATCACTCACATTTGGTACATTGCCCTTCTCTTCACCCAAATCAATACTTGTCAGTTCCGGCAAGATGGCGGACTAGGCACAAGAA